TAAGTGTGAATGTGTAAAATTACGTTGCAATAACGCAATAGGGGTGAGCTCAGCCGCCTTAGATAGAAAATATCGATAATTTGAATTAGATAAGTCCCAAGGTGGGAGCTGGTAATATCTAATTAATTTGAACTGTCTCAGAGTGAGAGCTATTAATGTTCAATTTTCTCTAGGTGAGAGCTAATAATATAACCTTTCTATCAGTACATGCTAACTTAAAAAGTTTATGATAAATAAATTTATACCTAATACTTATTTCGTTAAAAAGAATACGTAAATCACGTGTAGTAGATATTACAGAAGAATACAACTCATGTTTGAAATTATAAATCAATTCAATATCATAATTTCGAATATGGTTGTGATTTCTTGTTAAAGAAACAAAGGGTGATTCAACCTTCTTTACTCCTCGAGCTGGACATCTGCGGCGACTTTTCTCATGACATTCAAGATATCTATTTAAACAATTCAATTATCTAATTTCAATAACTATGATCAACATTTGACCATGAAAAAAATTAGAAAAATAAAATTTACTTACAGAGTAGTATTATTATCTGAGACACCAATTTGTAAGTAACAATAACCATCATCAAAAATTGGCGTAGTTTTATTTTTATTCAGACCGAATTGAAACATTTTGTAACTGTGTAGTAAACAATAACAGACCAACGTAAACTAAATTTCTTTGATTAAATATGTCTCTAACATTAATAATTATTAATGTTATAGATGACATAAGTCATTAATGACGTATTTAGATATCGCGAAGTAATTAGCTCTATAGACCACGTGCAATTTTTTTATTTCTATTGTAATATATGTAAATAAGATCTAAAGGTGTCAACAAAAATGAAATCTACTTTATTAACGAATTAAATGATTGAAATTTAAGCAATTAAACGCATATCTTTGCATATTAGATACTAAATAGATACATTTACATTAAATTGTTATTTTTTAATATTTATTTATTGCAAACCAATCGTAAATTTTTTATTTATATGTTTCCTAAAAAAATTGAATTTGAAATTTTTATCAAAAATTAAAGTAGTTCTATCTATATGTATATTATTTCATATCGCTAGCGGACATATTGTCGCGGGATTTATTTCCTCTTCTCAGAGAAACATAAAACAAAAAACTGTCGACTTTTGTTGCAACCACCGCGTTCTTGGCTTATTCTTACTTATGTTATAACTACGCGTTATTTTCTTAACTTAACTGAAAATAACTGAATTTCACCAAATAAAGTGAAAAAAACTAGTGGTTTATATAAATTGATGCATCATTAACAAAAGAAAAATAAAAAAGAATAATATATGAATTAAAAAACAGCTCAAATTAGTTATTAAAATAATGCCGCGTACAATTAATGAAAATGGCCACTCTTATATCGTTGAAAAGGTGTTACATGGACGAAGGTAAATATTTAAAATTTGTTTAATTCATTTGATTTAATAATAATTTAGTAGATAATTACATAATACTTGTTGAACTTTTGCTAATAGTGATAAAATTGTGAATCAGAAGTTAGCTGACGGAGCCCATAATTTTTTTTTTAATTAATTGAATATCCTGTAATTTAAAAAAAAAATTAATTTTTTACAATTCCTTCAAAATTTGAAAGATTTTCTAATTGATTCCTAACCACAAGATATTTTATTTAAAAAATAGCAGGTGCAGTGGGCTAACTTTTGGTTCGCACGTTAGTATGATACATAATGATATTCTATAAGCATCAATAATTAATAATTATTCTTTTTTTTATAGTTATGTGCATTGCCGTTTACGCTTGCGAGATCGCTGTCCAGCTCGTGGCATAAAAATTGGTAACAACCCTATTACTTTAACGAAAAATCATTATCACTCGGGAGTCTTGCGACTAAATGAAATGCGTTCAAGATTCAAAGCTGCACTGACAGCGTCAGTCCATCAGACTTTTCTTCCCTTGCATGTAGTGTATGATGAAGTGGCTGCTCGGTAAGATTAATTTTAAACTATTTTTTGTTAAGTTTATACTAATGAATTCAACTTGACTAATTATTCTACTTATTATATATTTTAGTTTTAC